GCTACTTCCATGTCATAAAGGCTTAGTCATGTCTCTTGACCAAGCAATGAGCTGGTGCCCTGACATAAGTAAAAAGAAATGTTTCACCACATGCTCCATTGTCCACCCCTTTGGTGGCCTTCTCATTGACACAAAAGGATGACCTTTCAGCTATACGGATCAAGTGCACCCACTGCTGGTAAACAGGTCCTAATATCAGGTGCAAGTGCATTTATCATAGAGCCAAATGATGCTTCTTGGCTTTAGAAACACTGCGAGGAACAGGGAAATTGAGTTCAAACAGAATCGAAGGCAAAGGGTGATTGTGTAGATTGGATGAACTCTGCCCTGAAAAAAGGTCCCCTCCCATGTGGCCAGGTACAACATTGATAGATGATGATGTGGGGCTTGATATGGGATTGATTTGGGCAGGTACAGTCAGTCCAGGTGCTTGATTTGTCAAAGGTGATGGAGGGTTGGTGATGCTGGTAGGAAACACAGCAAACAGTCCACGGATGCCTTCAAATATAGGCAAAACAGACACTTGAGGCACACTGCAAGTAGGATACAACAGCCAAGTCCATTTGAAGGCAATGGTACAAAGCAGTGCAACATCACCCTGGGACTTCGGTGCATACTGTTTGGCCAACAGATGATCTAGTGGATATCCATCAGACAAATGTGTATATCTCGAGTTGTATCATCCTACATATGATGCACACCCCTTTGCACAGGGGGAAAGACCTTTCATTGATCATAAGGATAAAATTCACCAAGTTCTCCATGGTGGCAAATTGGGGATGTCCATGTTCACCCAATGACTTTGATTGATACATGTGGCAAGAAAACACCAGGGGACTACTAATTGTTAGAGATGACACATGACAGCCCAATTTGACCCAGTTGAATATATGTAGCATCATACCTGATGGGGGGATGTGTCTTTGGGTCACGTAATAGTAGGTGCCATGAGTCCTGCAGCCATTTGTGGGCAGAGGACACCAATAAAGCCAGGCATTGGTTGATGTCCTGTGAGTGAAGATCAACAAGCAGCTACATTGTTTACAAGCAAAGCACACATGAGCATTTCTGATAAGGTAGAGAGCTCTCAGACTGATCTGCTCGTTGATCAGCATGTTTGCCATGGAAGGTTGGAGTAAGCAAAGGGACAATTTTGTATGCTTGTGGGGGATTTGCAATTGACCCTGAGATAAAGAATTGTTGCGCGGTGAGGACAGCAACTCACCTGACATAAGCATACCTCCATGCCTTTACAAGGTGGCGTATTCATTTGAAGCAGATTTCACAATGTACAACTACACAATCTTAATATGCACCTACTTACCATCACTGAGCATACATAGGGCAATGATCCACAACATAATTGGATGATATCTCTCCTCTAAGGAGAACATTTGGTCAGGAGACTTCTACATGTTATGGAAGGAGGTTCTCTATAACATGGATGCTTGTTCCAGTGAGGTGGTCTATATCAGGCAACCATCTGAGAAGCTAGGGTAAATCAAGGAAGGTGAGCAAATCACCTGTGTGTCAGGTGATGACACTTACCAAATTCAGGCGAGTTCTTCCCAGTCAGGCTATGATGCAAGAAGTGTATGGCAGATCAAGGAAGGTAGTAAATCCTCTGTGCATCAGGCAACGACACTCACAACAATCAGGCAAGCTCTTCCCAGTCAGGCAACAACCCCCTGTCAGGCAACAATGCAACAGCTGGGTAAATCGAGCAAAGTGAGCATCTTCTACACATGTCAGGCGACAATACTTACCAACATCAGGCAAACTCTTCCCAGTTAGGCAATAACCCCCCGTCAGGCGACAATGCAACAGCTGGGTAAATCAAGCAAAATGAGCATCTTCTATGCACATTGGGTGACAATACTTACCAACATCAGGCAAACTCTTCCCAGTCAGACGAGCTCTTCCCAGTCAGGCAAGCTCTTCCCAGTCAGGTGACAATGTGAGAGGTGTACAGCAGATGGAGGAAGGTGAGTAAATCCTCTATGCTCAGGTGATGACACTCACAACAATCAGGTGAGCTCTTCAATACTTACAAAAATCAGGTGAGCTTGTTTTGGTCAGGCAAGTTCTCCCCCATCAGGCGACAAAGTGGTTGACTGTAACAAGATATCCCACAGGTAGTAGTGAAGAGAAGCAGTGCACAATTACGCCCATCTTTTTGACTAGCAATGGTGTGCACAAAAACCAACTGTGTGTCAGTGATAATGGATCAATATTGCCTATCATAGCGAGTATGAAATACATTTTCCCTGTGAAGGGTAGCATATGGATTTCCCTCATTGTCAGCTGTTGTGGCCATTTGCACTGGCAGGATGGAAGCCAGATGCTTGTACCAATCCAGTGCCTGTGGATGGGCAAGGATCTAGATGCCAGATATCAGAGCAGAGAGCTTTGACATTCCCACCCATGAACCTTTGATGGGGTGGTATCCAACACATCAAGTCCACTCAGTGTATGGATGCGGGATACAGCAACATAAGCCTGACCTGGAGTGGATGAGTGTAATCGACATATGCATGTGACAGTGTGGTGTCATACCATATTCAAATGTCCCACTAAGGTCTACTGAAATGCAGTCCAGTGTTTGACCTTGGCAGGCATGAATGGTCATTGCATAAGCAAGGACCAAAGGCAGCTGAAAAAGTGAGTGTGAATGAGGTGAAAGGGTACAGTAGCAGGTGTCCATGTGCACCTGAGTATGCAACACTTTGATTACCTGGTCAACTTGAAACAACCAGGTCATGGGTGTGATCAATATCAGCTGACAAACTGTATTCCCAAACCTCACTACCAGGAACAGTTGCCCATCTGTGACAAAGGTGCAGTCAAACAACACATCCTCAGTAGGGATTTTGGCGGGGATGTCAGTGTGGTTAGTATACAGTCCCAACCTCCAGTCTGGCTTTGACACAACCCAACAATTTGGCCACAGGACCCATTATAAATGCCCTTGGCAATCCCATTCTGGATGAGTACCACATGTGTGCCTACTTTCAAAGCCAGTGAGCTGTGAGCAACAAGACCAGATAACAAGTGCCTCCACCCCAACACATCTAGAGAGCCATGATCTGCTGCTTGATAAATGTAGCTGGAACCCTCGAGCTTTTGCAGCTCATTCAAATTTGCATGGTCAACATCCTTGTGCCGGGGATACCTGGTTACGGATGAGACACTAGTAGATCTTTTCAACATTATGCACAGTATTGTTGGTTGAATGGGAGAGCAAGCAGCCTGAGGGTGGGGTTGGGCTCTTGATCCCTGCAGAATGCTAAGTGTATGGGTTGATATGGTGCCAATATGTATCTCCCTCAAAAGGCTGAGAAAGTCCAGAACATATCAATACTGTGGATGACATAATGCACAGACACAACATATATACCTTTGTTGCCTTGCCGAAACACGTGCAGTAGCAGGATAGTATGCAGCATACAGTGCACCCACTGCCCCCCTTCAAAGGCAAATTGTACTTGATTACAGTATTTGGTGATGGGAGGGAGTTGCAGGAAATGACCTGAGACGATGATCTTTCAAACAATATGGATATGACTGTCAATTGGTTTGTGGGTTACCACATGGGGGCTCACCTGTAGACCTCCAAAAGGGAGCACATTGCCCCATAAGGTAGCAGCAATGCATGCCAGCTTATCAAACAGCAGTCCCAAGATCATGGAGACTAGCACAGAGTCAGGTATGCAACGCTCATCTTTGGTAAGAACAGACCATTGTACTTTCATCAATTATGAGTACACGGACTTGTCTCCATTTTGTCACTTGGTCAGGGTGCAGATAGATGGTAGCGCAGAGTTCCTCTACAGAACCTCACCCTAATCCAATGCCAGCAAAGGAGTGGATAGTAGTACTGCTGAGCTCAGCAGCAGCAATACCAGTGGATGCGGTGATGACAACATCACCTTAATTGGGATATGATACCCACAGGCCATCAATTGTATACATCAACAAGTAGGACTTCCCAGTGCCTATGGGATACAGGATATATTAGTTGCCATATCATCTAGAACCGAAACAAGAAAATACCTGCTTCACCTGTGAGACAGATGTTTTGACTGGCTAAGCATAACTGGAGCACATAGTGCTGCTCTGCAGAGAGACGGGTTGTGTTGTCCAAGTACATGAAGGGAAATGGCAAAGATGTGTGTCTGGCAACCTGCAACAGTGGGACCATAGGAACATCTGCACAAGTCATGACATCCTGGCTTTGCAACATTTTACAATGCATACATCTTCAATCACTACATAGTCATCTGGACAAAAGGAAAGTCATGGAGCTCAGGAACTACAATGTCTACACAACTCAATTCCTGATCCTCAGTCCAAATTTGGCAGTCACCACCCAGAACAGGAGAGCCAGTATCGTCCATTGATTCATGGATTTTGTCAGAGACAAGATCTATGTGTTCATGTGCAATAGAAGCTTCTCTCTCCATGTGGGAAGCCACACTGGCTATGATCTCATCTTGATGGGGAGAGGTCAGAAACAAGTGCAGCAATGAATGATACATGATCCAAAAAGATGCCTTTGTCAGGGGAGGGGAACCCAACACTAGCAGGCAGACATCAGATCAACATCAGAAATAAAATATGTATAGCAGTGCATGGACCAAGGTAATGGCCATTGAACTCCTCCTCAAACCAGGAAGGTACAAGCTCAAACACAGGATGGTCCTTAGGTGCATACAGGTCTTCTACAAAATGCAAGTCTGATGTGGCAACACCAACCTGCAATATGAATAAATAATGGAATAAAAGGGGGGATAACCATCAAGCCAACCTTGAAGTTACATGCCCCCATAAAGCAATTTGGATTGTTCAGTATGTGCACCAGTCTTCCTTGGGGTAAAACCCTCTTTCTATCTTTTCTTGATCTGAAGGTGTTGTGAACATAAATCCATTCATTGAGATTCATCTGAGTGAGGGGAATCGCCAGATGATGGAAAGTTAAGCTGGAGATGTCCATCACAATTGCAATATTATGTACAAACTTGGTTACTCACTTCTGCAAAGGATTACCCCAGTCATACCACTGTTCTTGAAGACCCTGGCTCCACAAATCCTCCCAACCTTGGGAAAATGTTGCAACTTAGACCAAAGGATCTCGGGCTTGATATTTGCATGACCCCGCATCCATTGATGTTGCAGTACCCCAACAAGTCCAGGATCAAGCCATTGATGCAGCAGTGTGTGCCCATTGGCAATAGCATTGTTTTCACTCCCCAGATCACTCTGTGTAATCAGGGGAATACCTGTGGTGGATTCACATCAGTGGGATCAAGTGGCTCAGTAGACTACACAAGGCACACCTTGATGCTTGCAGGCCATATCAAGATAGTAGTGGAAGATTAATTGTGGATTTGAATTCATCCACCATACTTGAACCCACAGTATACATCCAGAAAAGGTATCCAAAACTGCATGGAGATATAGACCATATCTCCACCGTTTATTATGCTGGTCAATGGCCAACTTCACAAATACACTGCTTGATACATAGTGCTTTCATGTGTAACGGTGGCCTTTGCATTGTAAAACCTCTTGTGGATGATGAATTTCATTATACAGTGCAATAAGGCAGCTAGGAATTCATCAGTGAAAGATAGTCAATCGGATAGGTTGGTGGTACCAATGCACCATGAAGCATGAATGCCCTCTAAACATAACCAGACTTGCACAAGTTTGACACCTTGATTAGGATAGAAATAACAAACTTTCTCTAGATATGGAGCAATGGAATCCAAGGTATGGTGTTGCTGCCATATGCTGCAAAGTCCCATCTCTCCACACTGACATTGAATGGTTTTAGCACTAATGAACAACATCAGTACCATGAAGGTTGTCCATCAGAGGATGGACATACTCACCTTAAAGTCCAACCATTTGCCATTGCATCAACATCTTTTAAAATCACATCTGCCATCTCTTTGTTGCGCAGACCATTCTCATGGTATTCTCAAATAAGGGGCAAGAGCAAGTCATCCAGAACTGTTCAGCTAGTTCAGCAAGCAGGTTGGACATGCAAAAACCTAGTATCTGTACCTGTCAGCACATATTGGTTGGGTTTGCAGCTCTCCAATGGGTGACTTGCAGATGATGATATTGTGCTTGACATTGTAGGAGATGATGCAAAGTCCAGGTCTCTCTTTGATGGTCAGGCCTGTACATGGATTGAAACAGTCATCCAATATGCTGGTGACATAACTTAACATGGGTGAGAATTGTTTTGAAATGACACTACCTGCAGAACCCAGAGAAGACATAATTTTGTCACCAAGGCAGTGCAGTGAGCGACCAGATAAAAATATTGAAATGGCAAGGAATAGCCATACTCATATCTAGTTTGTGAGCTCCACTAGTTTGTCTGACTTGGCAGATGGTGGCATGGACAGAATCAAAATGGCAAACGGAGGCCTCCAGTTTGCATCCTAGTTTGTGGGATGTAGTTCATAGTTGGGTTGTTGATTGATGCCATGCCAATGTGCTGTCTTTGATGGGGAAATGAATGCAGAAGATAGAGCTTCCACAGAGTTGACAACATCCTGCTCAGGTACCATGCTTCTTTTTACATTATGAAGTGCAAAAGCAATGGAGGCTTTCATTTGTGGTTTGTGGGCTGGTCAGATAGAAGCACGGGAAGCATGATGGAAGGGGTTTCAAAGGTCCCAGAGCACATGGTGCACCTGCACAAACTCACAAACTAGAAATATTGAGTACAGTTAATACTACTGAGCTTTGAGCTAGGTGGGGATAGTTGTGATATGGGTAGGAAGAAAGCAGCAATCAAGAAGAGCCCTCTTTGTCCTGCAAGCCCTCCTCCTACCATATGGACAAGGTACATCATATGCATACGGCCCAGCAAAGTATTGATCAGCACATGAAAGAACCTAAATCTGGTCCTGGCCTCTGCCATCAAATATTAATGGCTACCATGCAGAACCTCTGAAGAATACCGGCATATTCAGATGGAATGAGGGGCAGGATCTGGACTATCATGAGTGCCACCTTCTTTAGATCTTGATGAAGTGTATGGACTGATGCATCGCCTTGGAAATACGGTCAGGGCAAAGCACCCCAATTGTTTTGGAGAGTAGGCATACCCATAAGAATGAAGAGAACCCCCCTCTTCCCCCCCGTCTCTTGTATCCTCTATACCCACACACCCCCAAAAAATGGACATTGGGAAGTTACCACAGGATATGGTCCTCCTACCAGCAGCCATAACATACCAGTCAGCCTCGGACCAGATCTGCAACAGAAAAAATGCATGTCAAACCTATGGAGCACAAGGTGGAAGGATCCCAGTGGGCACACCATGGCAACGCATGTTGAATGGCACAGCAGCTATTATTGTGTATGCCATGGATTTTGTGTATTACCAGAACAAGCTTGGAATGAAGGTGGTACCCACAGTCATATGGGAAGAATCACCATACCACCCAGGTGATATAAGTGCACCCATTGCAAATCTGGCAGAGGTTCAACAAATGAATAATGCAGCCAAAAGACATGGTGCACTGTTTAGATTGCCCTTCTCTACACAAGATTGACATTGAGACCATCTGATAGTTGGAGCATCCCAGGTGCAAGCAATTGGGTCTTATCCACAAGTGAGCTGACATGAGAGGGATGGGATGCTTGTTCCTTTGTCATTCCAACTGGGCAGAGGAATAGGCCCATTTCCAATACTGGGTCATTGAGGATACTTTGCCCAACATGCATTCTATGAAGAGGAAACAGCCAAATTTTACAAGAAAGCATATGCAGTTGTTGCTCCGGAAATGTTGCAAATTCATTTCAGAGTGGACTACTATGAAGAGGGCAAACGTGGATCAAGGCTATATTGGGTACAGCAATTCACATGCTGCAGTATTGGGACAATACTGAAGTTGTTTAGAACTTCAAGGATAAAATTGATCTGCCTGCCAAAAGCAGCTGTGTGCAAATCAAAACTGTGCTGTTCAAATCTATGCAAAGGAAACTTTATGAGAGCTTGAAGGGGTTTGCATTCAAAATAGGTGATTTTGACCTCTGTGGTAAAGACGGGACAGACTACAACAACAACTGATTCCCTGACAACTTGCCATTATTAGATGAGGCATGTTTTGTTACACCTTGAGGAAAACCAAAAGTCTCAGCACAGAAGTTTCAATTGGATAAAAAGTTTGACATGTGTCTAGTAATCAAACCTGATGCATATGATCACCTCCTGATGCATTTGGAACATGACAACAGAAATATGGATGGACCAGCAGCATCTATTAGTCGGACATCCCAAGTTGAATCTGTAGGAGGAGCCAACCAACCACCAGTAACCAACGTGAGCATGGATACAAGAAAACAAGTGCGGCAGATGTGCAGAAAGTCATTGGTAAGTAGCTTGATCATCATGGTGCAGTGAATAGAATTTGAGAACTATGGCTCATAGGACAGCATAACAACATCTCCCCTGGCAAAACGCTCTAATGGGCACATGGGATCGGCCACTGGGAATGTCAGTGTGTCTCTGGATGCTGGAGACATAAGGGCTGCACTGTTGCAGAGCACAGCAAACATTCAGGACACCACTTTGCCTTTTAGTAAGCCATTGAATATGCCAAATTAATAACATTAATGTTTGGCAGATGTTTATAAAGAAATGGGGCATTTCATCAGGATACCTCATTTAGACTTTGATACATTAGTGAAGACCTGGGCTACCTTGAACCTAGATTGGATGGAAGGTAGTTGCCAGGCAGCAGTCTCTGTGGATGAACAGATTGAGCAGCAGCTAGGCAAGCCAGGAAGCTTCAAAATGGCTCACCCAGGGAGCATGGTACTATATGAAAAAGTCAAAAATTGGAACATGTTGCAAGAAATTCCATTCCTGTTAGGTTTGTGAAACAAAGCAGCATTCAAAAGGTGGTATCTCTGTGCTCAAAGTGATGCATCAATCAGCCAGCATGGTATGGTATAGACGGGATGACTGGATGAGGAACAGAAGCTTGCCAGTGAAGGAACCTCTCTGATGTGGGTGACATCCCTACAGAACATGGTGCGAGACTGCATAGAGCATTGGAAATGCCTATCAGATCCCTCAGATAAAATCCACTCTCTCAAATGGCCAAAGGTGCAATTCATTGTGGCTGGCATTTTCCGGGTCACGCAAGCCAGGCAGACAAGGAATGCAGGCCAAAACAATCAGTTACACATCCATTATTTGGTAGAAGAGCAGCTGGACCCAGATTGTTTCATGAACTACATCAGCAATGGCAGCACTTGCCCACTGATCACAGAAGGAAGAGCAGGGACAATAGCAAGCTTCCTAGCATTCTCACAACATCTGCAATATTATCAAATGCTTGGCCATGTGTTTGTGAGCAACTATCAAGGTATGAGCACAAGTTCTATCTCAGTACCCTGACCTGACCAACAGGCAGGTACTGATGGTCTGCTGACAGACCTGCAAATCATGACAGATCCATGAGCAAAACACCTTTTTCACCTCAATATGGCTAATGAACTGATATAGAAATCTGCCTGGGTCTCTGTTTGGGGGGGGAAACCTGGGTAGTGCATTCCTAGCATTTCAGGAAGAGCATGTTTGCACTTTGTTTTGCAATGCATATGGCCTGGTTGCATTCAAAGAGGCATGACCCCACAATCCTGGTTATGTTCATGGTGCATGCATCACAAATGGTGATGCCAGTGCTGCTGCTGCTCTGCTTCAGCTTGGTCTTGCCAAATAAGAGGATTTGGTCTTGTGCAAGCCATGACCAACAGTCTCAGACACATGTTTGTTGGTTCTTACTCCAAATATGATAGCTTTTCTCAACAGGTTTTGCATGTTAACATTTTGCTCCTTCATTGTAGATTAATATGAAATTTTTTGTGAATAGTACAGCTGCAGTTAAGCAGGGGGTGAAATGTCATGTCTGATTGCATCAAGGTTACTTTCCAAAGTACTGTGAATGTAACTATGTTTGCTCACTGATAGGAATGGATGACACAAATGAAGCCTTTTGCAAAGTTTGTCATTCAGTTATTACATAGCCGGAGAAGCAAAAGACAGGCGGAGTTCAAAGCGGGGGTTGAAAGGATTACAATAAACAGGAGGAATTGGTTAAAGAGGGGTACATGCTACTTGGTTCTAGCGAACCAGACCAGCCTGACTGCGGAGCAGACCAGCCTGCAAAGCGCTTCCGCAGTAGTCCCTGACATACAAAATGAGCTGTCCTCTTAGCGTTTCCGTATCTCTGCCCTCAGCTGACTCCAACCCTGGTTTGCCTGCCTGGATATTCTGCAATGTATGCTCACATGACCTCCCATTCCACCTATTTCGCCTACTCTCCGTATTCGGGTCATGGGTCAATATTGTACCGAGATAATCCCATGTGTTCCAAGCGGAAAGATAGATAACGGCTGAACAGCTGGCAAACACTCGCCCTCCTGGCCATGGTCAGCAACACACCGATGGCCAAAGACCTGCCTACTCATCCCACACTTGGGGGCCCTCCTCCTCCCTCCGTCGATGCTGGTCAAGCCTGGTTCACGTCTTTCTCAAATGCCATCTCCTCCTGCGATGTGCTTGCACTCCTCGGCCTGATTCGGGAAGATGGTTTCTGGAGAGACATGCTCGCTCTTACATGGGACTTTCGCACTTTCAAGGGCACCGAACGGATCAAGGAATTCCTGCATGATCGTCTGCAAGGAGCCGAACTGAGCTCTCTCAAGTTGAGCAACGACTTCCCACCAAATCTCGAACAGCCGTGGGAGGACGTCACCTGGCTCATCATCACCTTCACTTTCTCCACCAAGGTCGGTACCGGCACTGGCATAGCCCGACTCGTGTTCGACCACAAGCCAGGAGCATGGCAGGTATACACAATTTTCACCACCCTATCGGGATTACACGGCGTCTCCGAAGCCCTGGGCTCAAACAGACTCATGCAGCCAAACCACGGCCAATGGCTTTCCTCTCTCGCTCAAACGCTCGAATTCGAGAAAGATCCTGAAGTGCTCATCATCGGAGCTGGACAGTCAGGGTTGGACGTAGCGGCGAGGCTGAAGATGATGGGTGTGAGCGTGTTGTGTGTGGAGAGGAATGCAAGAATTGGAGATCAGTGGAGGGGGAGATATGAAGCACTTTGTTTACATGATCCTGTTTGTAGGTCCTTTCCTTCTTCTCACCTCCGTTTCCCCTCCCCCACCGTACCACCCTCTTTCCTTTCCTCTGGACTTTCCCCCGCCGCACCAAGCTAACTCCGAGAAGGGTATGACCACCTCCCCTACCTGCCCTTCCCATCCACCTGGCCCGCCTACACACCAGCAGCAAAACTCGCCCAATGGCTCGAATTCTACGCTCAAGCACTCGAACTCCCAATCTGGCTCTCTTCGACTATCGAATCCTGTACATGGCTTGAAGGGGAAGGGAAGTGGGAGGTTGTCGTCCAAAGGGGAGCAGAGGGAGGGAAGAAGAAAAGGAGGGTGATGAAGGTTGGTCAGGTGGTGTACGCCGCAGGGTTGGCAGGAGGGGTGCCGAATATGCCCAAGATCGCTGGGATGGTACGTCTTCCCTCATTTCCCGCGTTCGGAAGTCAACTGACGGTTTTGCGTCGGTTCTGTGCGCTTAGGATGAGTTCAGGGGGAAGATTGTTCATTCCACCCAGCATAAGACGGCGAAGGATTACGTGGGAAAGAAGGTGCTTATTGTGGGGGCTGCTACTTCTGGTGAGTCTTCCCCAACGCACGCCTTTTCTCTTTTTCTCTCCGTATTCCCTGCCCCCTCCTCCGTCGCCGTTGTTTCCCCTGCGGAACTCCCAGATATACACCTTTCTTCCAGCATCTCGCTTGCACTGTCGCTTGCCTCGTTGAGTTCAGACTACTGACATCCCACAGCCCACGACATCGCGCACGACTTTGCCAACCACGGTATTGACGTTACCATCTTCCAGCGCGACTCCACATACATAATGACAACCAAGCACGGTATGCCAGTCGTGATGCGCGGTCTATACTGGGAAGGCTGTCCCCCGACCGAGCAGGCAGACATGCTCTCCGCCTCGCTGCCTAACGAGGTCCTGCGACACGTGCATAAGAGGTATACCCAGGAGGTGGCGGAGAAGGATCGCGAGCTGCTGGAGGGGCTTGATAGGGTTGGGTTTAGGAGAAACGAGGGGGTCGAGGGGAGCGGGTTCCTGTTCTTGGCGTATTCTAGAGGTGGGGGGTATTATCTCGGTACGTCTCGCTCCTAATTTGTGATTGGCTACAGCTTCTCCCTTCGCTCTTGCGTTCCTTTCTTCTACCCTGCAGCAGTGCTCATGACCAGTTTGCAGACGTGGGCGCGAGTCAGATGATCGTGGATGGGAAGATCGGACTCAAGAACGGGTGCGAGATCGATAGGTTCACCCCCTCCGGAGTCCGTTTCTCAGACGGGTCGGAGATTGCCGCAGACCTAGTCGTGTTCGCTACCGGGTGTGTATCCCCCCATTATCGCCCATTTCTTGGCCCTACAGTCCCATTCAAGAGACATTGACCGTTCTTTTAGGTTTGGGAATATCAAAGAATCGATGCGCAGCATGTTCGCTCCGGACTTGGTTGAGAGACTCAAACCTGTCTGGGGAGTGGACGAGGAAGGGGAGATTCGGGCAGCCTGGGGAGATTCGGGACACGTGAACTTCTGGTATATGATGGGTGCGTGCTCTTCTCCCCTGTTCACTCCCTCACGGTTCAGCTTCGCGAGATCTTGGTTTTGGCACCATATGCACTGCCGGAATCTGTCAGGCTGACACAGTGGAATAGGAAACCTCTGTCTGTGCAGATTCCACAGCAAACATATCGCGCTACGTGAGCTTACAAACTGCTGATCGGTTGAGTGACGCGCCTAATGGAATGATTCTTCAGAGATCAAAGCTATGCAGATGGGCGTGTCCGGAGACCGGTACCAGAAGGGTAAGCCGAGTTGAGCGATAAGCAAGAGGTTGGTTATCTAGAGCGTGTCTGGTATGTGAAATTGAAATATCACCATTGATTTAAGTGTGTTCCGGTCAGGTTCTTGCTTGATCTTGCAGCGATCCTGTGGAATCCGGTGGAACATTTACCTTAGGTCCCACTTGCTTTGATCTGGAACATCGCCTCCCACTCACCCTCCGGCCCCCAGGTATTTTGAATTTCAGCGTTCACACGATCAGAGCTGACACATTTGGATTGACATTTCACTTCACACTCTATGCACTCCATACGGTCAAGGCGCTTCTCTCGTTGCTCAACTCGGCTTGCCTTTCTGGTATCGGTCTCCAAACACGCCCATCTGCATAGCCTTGATCTCTGCAGGATCATTCCAATTAGTTGCATCACTTGAGACACATAAGTCAGTGAACTCACGCAGCGCGATATGTTTGCTGTAGAACCTGCAAAGGCTGAGATTTCCTGTTTCGCTCTATCAGCCTGCTAAACTCTGGAAGTGAAGATTGTGCCGAAAGCAGAAACATCACAATCTTGGGTCGCAGGATAGTGAAAGGTATCGGGAGAACGCACCCAACATATACCAAAACTTCGGGTGTCCCGAATCCCCCCAGACCCCTTTGATCTCCCCCTCCTCGTCTACACCCCAGACCGGCTTGAGGTTCTCAATCAAGTCGGGGGCGAACATGCTCTTCATTGATTCTTTAATGTTGCCATACCTGAATGGAACGGATCAGCGCCTCATACTAAGCCTGCGGTACGTATAGAAGGGTTGAAATAAATAGAGTGAATAGGATACGCACCCGGTAGCGAAAACAACCAAGTCTGCAGGAATCTCCGACCCGTCCGAGAAACGCACTCCAGACGAAGTGAACCTATCGATCTCACCACGGCTCTTCAGTCCAATCTTGCCATCGACAATCATCTGACTGGCCCCCACGTCTGTAATCCAGTTGTAAGCAGCACTGCAGAGAAGGAGAACGGAACGAAATTGTGAATGATAAAGTGGGAGGGAGACGCACCGAGATAGTAGCCTCCACCCTTGGAAAAGTACAAATACATCAACCCGCTCCCTTCGACACCATCGTTCCTCTTAAACCCGACTCGATCGAGGCCATCCAGCAGCTCACGATCCAGTTCCGCTATCTGCCGGGTGAGTCTGGCATGTGCGAGCCGCATGACCTCAATTGGCATCGAAGCGAAGAGCACGTCCGCTTGCTCCGTTGATGGACTATCTTCCCCCCAGTAGGCACCCCCCATCAGAATGGGTATCCCATGCTTTGTTGTTATCACGTGGGTGGAGTCGCGTTGAAACATGGTAACATCGATGTCGTGGTTGGCAAAGTCATACGCGATGTCATGGGCTGCGGCGGAGTCAGTGGTCTCATCCGGGGAGCATGCAAACGGGTGAGGCACAGAGGTGTACGGGAGAGGGGAGGATGGTAATTGGAGGTGAGGGGGAGAAAAGTGAGAGGAACCAGAGCAAGGTGCATACCAGATGTCGCAGCCCCGATTATCAGCACTTTCTTCCCAACGTAGTCCTTCGCCGTCGTATGTTGGACGGAATGAATGATCTTTCCCTTGAACTCGTCCTACCCGCGCACGGCCAACACAAAAAAAGCCTGTCAGCCATCATCCGCCTAGCGTGGAACCAGAGGGCGGGCGTACCATCCCTGCAATCTTGGGCATATTCGGCACTCCCCCTGCCAACCCCACAGCGTACACAACCTGGCCAACCTTCATCACCCTCCTCTCCTTGCCTCCCCCCTCCTTACCCCTCAAAACGACAACCTCCCACTTCCCTTCCCCTTCGAGCCAAGTACAGGATTCGATGGTAGAGGAGAGCCAGATTGGGAGCTCGAGTGCTTGGGCGTAGAATTCGAGCCACTGGGCGAGTTTTGCCGCTGGGGTGTAGACGGGCCAAGCGGATGGGAAGGGGAGATAGGGGAGATGATCGTACCCTGCTCCATGGTTAGCTGCGTGCGACACAGAAGAGAGCGAGAAGGGTGCTGGGAGAGGGAGGAAGAGGGACGAAGGCGGGACGAAGGAGGAAGACCGGAAGACCGGATGGAGGAAGGTACGTACAAACGGGATCATGCAAGCAAAGTGCTTCATATCTCTCCCTCCACTGATCTCCAATTCTTGCATTCCTCTCCACACACAACACGCTCACACCCATCATCTTCAGCCTCGCCGATACGTCCAATCCTGCTTGTCCGGCTCCGATGATGAGCACTTCGGGATCTTTCTCGAATTTGAGCGTTTGAGCGAGAGAGGAGAGCCATTGGCCGTGGTTCGGCTGCATGAGTCTGTTCGAGCCTAACGCTTCGGTCACGCCGTGTAATCCCGAAAGGGTGGTGTAAATTGTGTATGCCTGCCATGCCCCAGGCTTGTGATCATACACGAGTCGGGCTATGCCAGTGCCGGTACCGACCTTGGTGGAGAAAGTGAAGGTGACTATAAGCCAGGTGACGTCCTCCCACGGCTGTTCGAGCTTTGGTGGGAAGTCGTTGCTCAGCTTGAGAGAGCTCAGTTCGGCCCCTTGCAAACGATCATGCAGGAATTCCTTGATTCGGTCCGTCCCTTTGAAAGTGCGAAAATCCCAGGTAAGAGCGACCATGTCTCTCCAGAAACCATCTTCCCGAATAAGGCCGAGGAGTGCGGGCACATCGCAGGAGGAGATGACATTTGAGAAAGATGTGAACCAGGCTTGACCAGCATCGACGGAGGGAGGAGGAGGCCCTCCCAGGGTAGAATGAGTAGGCAAGTCCTTAGCCATCTGCTATGTTAGTTGACGGGAGATGGTGCGACGGCTGCCAACTTGTGAGATGGTATTTATCTTTCTGTTCGGAGCACGTGCTTAATCTCGGTATGATATTCACCCATGTGGGGAATGGACCGAATAAGTTGAATATAAGTCATGTGAGCGTAAGCGTACAACGACCAGGGTGCCAGGGTTGCGGTTTTTAGCTAAGCTTGACAAGCAAGGAGGATACGCCGGAGCTCGGCCCGAACCTCGGCACCGAGGACGCCACCCACGTCCGCCCCACACAAAGTCCACTTTCCAACGAGGGCTCGATACATCCGCATGAGATTGAAGAATAGCTTGCATTGGCCCTTTGTAGAATCTTCAGACTCTATAAACCCGGGAGGCCTGGCCCGCTGCACAACCCGTAGGCTAGCTGCACGTATTGCTGACTGAGAGCTACCCACGGGCACAAAGCCAGGGATAGGGTCGACCATCCCATTACAGGTCTGCTTTGGGCATAACCTTCACTTCCACAGTTTAGCAAACTGATGCATCGAAACAGGAAATCTCAGTCTGTGCAGGTTCCACAGCAAAACATATGTAACCTCTCGCTTACGGCTCAACTCGGCTTACCCTTCTGGTATCGGTCTCCGAATACGCCCATCTGCATGGCCTTGATCTCTGAAGAATTATTCCATTAGGCACGTCACTCGACAGATCGGAAGTTTGTAAACTCACGGAGCGCCATATGTTTGCTGTGGAACCTGCACAGACAGAGGTTTCCTATTCCACTTTGTCAGCGTGCCAGGCTGCCAGGAGCGCATATCATGGTGAAAAGGGGTGAGCAGGACGCACCCATCATATACCAGAACTTCTCGTGTCCCGAATCCCCCCAGGCTGCGCGGATCTCCCCTTCCTCGTCCACTCCCCAGACAGGTTTGAGCTTCTCAACCAGGTCCGAGGCAAACATGTTCCCCATCGATTTTTTGATATCCCCAAACCTAGCAGAACGGTCAACGTCTCTTGATTGAGGATGTAGGGCCAAGAAATTGAAGATAATGGCGGGATACGCACCCGGTAGCGAACACAACTAGGTCTGCGGCAATCTCCGATCCGTCTGAGAAGCGAACTCCGGAGGGGGTGAACCTATCGATCTCGCACCCGTTCTTGAGTCCGATCTTCCCATCTACGATCATCTGACTTGCGCCCACGTCTGCATTCCAAGTGTGAGCACTGGCAAGATGATCCCAGAACGGAGAACAGAAGGGAGAAGGCTGAACACGTCGTCATTCACAAAATGGCTGCACGACGCACCGAGATAGTATCCCCCAGCCCTATAATACGCCAAGAACAAGAGCCCGCTTCCCTCGACCCCCTCGTTCCTCCTAAACCCAACTCTGTCGAGCCCCTCGAGCAGCTCGCGATCTTTCTCCGCCACCTCCTGGGTATACCTCTTATGCACGAGTCGCATGACCTCGTTAGGCAGCGAGGCGGAAAGCATGTCTGCCTGCTCGGTCGGGGGGCAGTCGTCCCAGTACAGGCCGCGCGCCACGACTGGCATGCCGTGCCTGGTTATCATTATATATGCGGAGTTACGTTGGAAGATGGTAACGTCGATATCGTGGTTGGCAAAGTCGTGGGCGATGTCGTGGGCTGTGGGAGGTCAGTAGTCTGAACTCGAGAAGACCAGAGGACGTGTAAGGGGGATGCTGGAAGAGAAGTGCATATTTGGGTGTCCCACCGAGAAAGGAACGGCAAAAGAGGAGGGGGCAGGGAATACGGAGAGAAAAGAGAGAACGCGTGCGTTGAGGAGGACTCACCAGACGTAGCCGCCCCAATAATAAGCACTTTCTTACCCACATAGTCCTTCGCCGTCTTATGTTGGGTGGAATGAACGATCTTCCCCCTAAACTCGTCCTACGCGCACAGAACCAACGCAAAAACCCCATCAGCTGTCAGTCAAGAATACGACAGATGAGGGAGGACGTACCATCCCAGCGATCCTGGGCATATTCGGCACCCCTCCTGCCCAACCTGCAGCATACACCACCTGGCTAACCTTCATTACCCTCCTCTCCTTGCCTCCCCCCTCCTTACCCCTCAAAACGACAACCTCCCACTTCCCTTCCCTTTCGATCCAAGTACAGGATTCGACTGTGGAAGAGAGCCAGATTGGGAGCTCGAGTGCTTGAACGTAGAATTCGAGCCATTGGGCGAGTTTTGCTGCTGGGGTGTAGGCCCGCCAGGTGGACGGGAAGGGCAGGTAGGGAAGGTGGTCATACCCTGCTCAAAATTAGCAGGCAAGGAGAGGGGGAAGGGAGGGAGGGAGGCAGTGAGATGAGAAGTGGTAGGGAAAGGACGTACAAACAGGGTCATGCAAACACAGCGCCTCGTACCTGCCCCTCCACTGATCTCCAACCCTTGCATTCCGCTCTACACACAACACGCTCACACCCATCATCTTTAGCCTCGCCGACACGTCTAATCCTGCTTGTCCGGCTCCGAAAATGAGCACTTCGGGATCTTTCTCGAATTCGAGGGCTTTAGCGAGAGAGGAGATCCATTGGCCGTGGTTCGGCTGCATGAGTCTGTTCGATCCTAACGCTTCGGAGACGCCATGCAATCCCCAGAGAGTGGTGTAGATTGTGTATGCCTGCCATGCTCCAGCCTTGTGGTCGTACACAAGTCGAGCTATGCCAGTGCCGGTACCGACCTTGGTGGAGAAAGTGAAGGTGATGATGAGCCAGGTGACGTCCTCCCACGGCTGTTCGAGATTTGGTGGGAAGTCGTTGCTCAACTTGAGAGAGCTCAGTTCGGCTCCTTGCAGACGATCATACAGGAATTCCTTGATTCGTTCGGTGCCCTTGAAAGTGCGAAAGTCCCAGGTAAGAGCGAGCATGTCTCTCCAGAAACCATCTTCCCGAATAAGGCCGAGGAGTGCGGGCACATCGCAAGAGGAGATGGCATTTGAGAAAGATGTGAACCAGGCTTGACCAGCATCGACGGAGGGAGGAGGAGGCCCTCCCAGGGTAGAATGAGTAGGCAGGTCCTTGGCCATCGTGTGTTGTTGACCAGGAGGGCGAATGTTTGCCCGTTGTTGAACCTTTATCTATCTTTCTGCTTGGATCACATGGGTTCTCTGGGTATGATACTCATCCAGGTGAAGAATAGACCATGTAAGTCGTGCGAGCTTATGGGTACAACGACCAGGCTAGGGTTGAGGTTGTCAGCTAATGAGAGAGTAGGCGTGACGTGAGCGAGGAGGACAGACCGGAGCTCGGCCCGACCCTCGGCACCGAGGGTGCCACACCTCCGCTGCACATTCCTCCATTTCCCAACCAGACTCATTGGAACTCAGATGAGATTGAAGAATACAACAGATCGGCTCTTGTTGTTGCCCCTCTTTGCGTCTTCTCGCCATGTGTCGACACACACTCCGTCCATAACCCCTCATTATCACATGGACAACAGCCGATCAGATGTGATAATGCGTGGCGGCTCACTGCAAGAAACTTTGAATGGTTGATGTTTCTGTGACTGGGTCACGTGATTTGAGACGGGATGGAAACAAATATCACATGACCTCATGACAAAGGAACGGACCGGCCTGAACCGAACCTTTTCTTAAGCCAGACTCTCACCACGCATGAATTAGACCATGCATGAATTAGACCATGTGATGGACAACGCCCAGAACTTTTCCTATCCGAGGTTGAACGAACGAGTTGACTCTTAGTATCAGTCGGCACAAATCATACGGAGAGGTCTTGTACCGGCAGAAGGCAAGTCCCGAACGCTATGCGATAGAGCCTGATTTCTGATAGAAACAGTCATGTGATCGGTGGTGTAAATGCATCAGAAGCCAACTAACAGAAGCACACCTGTTCCTACCTCGGTATCTTTAGTCATCCCGTACTTGATGGTCTACTCAGCCTAGCCGCCCATCCTCCTTCTATCTTCATCAGCTTCAGCACCCCAATACCTTTTACACGCCTGCGGCTTCCGTACGGTCCGTCTTATCTTCCGGCTTTTGATTAATAGTCGTGCGGTAGAAGCGAATGCATCCGGCGGTCGGTGACATTAGAGCATGTGATGGGTGATCCAGAGCTTATTGAGATAGACGGCAGGAGAGCGTGCGTTTGCCGCATTCGTAGAAGGGAATAGGATGGAGGAGATAGTGGAATAACATATCGCCCATCGATCAAGACAATCCGATGTCAGAACTGCAGCAGACCCGCCGGGTTTCCACGCCTCAGAATCAGACCGCACCTTCGGGCACATCCGTTCTTCAGTCCCCAGCCTCCTTCTTTGGCGCAGCCGGACAAATTGCGTGCATGCCTCCCACGCTCTCACTACCAGGCTCTCACGCCTTAGAGTGCCATGTCAACAATCAGCAGTGGTTAGGTTCATTCCCACAGGCGCTCGGGAACACCTTCTCCCGACCCAGCAGATATTCATCTTTATCATCAGCATCAGACGGCAGAGCACAGTCAGGGCCGATGCACCGCGTGCTCGTCTCACGAGGGCAGCAGAAGCTTACTGACAAAACAACAACTGACCACAATTTCTCAACTTGTTACGTATGAGAAGCAGAGAAGCACAGTTCTTCCACTTTGGTCTTCAAAATGTGAACTCCAGCGCTCCAAGGCCGAGACGCCCGTGGGTGTAGTCTATCACGGACAAGCCCGCACAGGCAATAAGCTGCCGAGGCCGGCAGGTTCATGCGGGCTTTCAATTTGACCCTTTTTTTGGACTTCCGGCTTCCTGACCCACCGACAGCCAGCTAACACGATCCTACGAGCAGACGCCTCGATGCGGACGTGTCACCCTTCTACTCGCCCGGCCTGCTCCATGCAAGACTTTGCAAAATGAACTCGATCAGGCTCTTGGCGCCTGACCCGCGGGGAAGGAGGAGCCCTGGAGCACTCTCAATCCGGCCCGCTCTTCTCAACTAAGGAAGAAGCGTGCCAGCGGTAGCTTAGCGGCCTGGCCGGGCCCGTTGGAACGATCTGAGGTGCTGAAGCCGCGGGGTGGGTTTGGGAGGGGTATATAAAGCAGGCGGTCTGCCAGAGTCTGTTCCCTGCCTCGCCCCATCTCCCAAGTCTCAGCTGCGTGCCGCCCTCTTGCTTCAGGTCAGTACGTAGTGTTCTGTTCGCTGGGCATCTAGTCAAGCCAAGATGCACGCCGTTCTGCAACCACGCCGCGAGGAGGCGCTGCCCCTGCCCGGGATGCGCCCTGAACCTGCTGATAATCACGATGTGCATCGCCGGCCTGATGGAAAACTGCCAGAGCTAGAGATCCCCTACCCACTGCCGGTCAGTCTTCTGTTCCGTATCGGGAAGAACCTTCCGAGACATGGGCGTTGATGATCTTTTGGGATGTGGTAGGACGACGAGGAAGCGGACAGACGAAGGTGAGTCAAACATCTTCTCCCGCCTCTTGCCTTTTTTGTCACTTTCCGTCTTCCGCTGGGAAGAGGGAAGCCTGCTGCCCTTACCCATGCTGACTTTTCGTCTCCAGGCTCAATGCAGGGCACTACGCACTCAAGTCCTACCTTGGGTCGAACTACATCGCCCCCCTCCGCTCTTGTCTGCAAGCCCCAAGTGACAGCCCTAAACGGATCCTCGACCTCGGGTACGTAAGCTTCACTCCCTGCCACCCCTTTCATGCCGGGGTGCGGACATAACATGCATCAGATAAGCTGATATAGAATGGACAGAACGGGTAGCGGGATATGGTGCGTTCCCTATGTGGTGCCCTGATCGGCCCCTCCGCTCCGAAAGGAATAGGCTCTGACAAAGAGTGGGTATTGTGACGCAGGGCGATAGAGATGTCTGAAGAGTTCCCGCATGCGTCGGTGCTTGGTGTTGATATCACACCTGTTGTGAGCCGGTGCGTTCGTCCCATCGCGGCTCCACTTGTCAGAAGAAGAAAGTACTGACCTATATCTGGTTGATTGGCTCTGCAATCACGGTTAGGCATGTTCCGTCCAACTGCTCCTTTCAAGTTGCCAACCTCGCCTTGGAATGGCCTTTTCCCCAGGGAGCGTTCGACGTCATCCACTCGAGGTTCTGTTTGGTGCATGTATGTCTGTCCCCCTTTTTCTTCTCTCCCCCCATCATCCCCTTTCTCTCGCTTCCTCTATCAGCAACGCTACTATCAGGGGCAAAGCGTGCATAAAGCAGATGCTGACACCTATGTAGCTTCCTGAACCAAAGACGGTCCTCCAATCCCTCCTTCGTTCACTCAAACCAGGCGGTTATCTGCTGCTCGAGGAAGGGACCAACGCGCTCTTCGCCTCCCCCTCCCCTAACTCAGCTACCCCTATCCCCTCACTCCCAGAAGGGATAACCACGTTCTACGAGATCTATGGGGGGATCATGCGTCCACAGGGCGTGGACGGCGAGGTGGGGCCCAAGATGCTGGGCTGGATCCGGGAGAGCGGGCAGTGTGAGGTTGTTTGTGAGCGGATGCTGGAGCCGCCTATGAGGCCTTTCACCGCAGGTACGACATGTTGTTACCGTCCTTCTTGCGAAGTCTTGGCTGACCGCAGTCGATGTGCGGGAACAGATACGGAGCTGAACAAGCTGGGGGAAACCCTGAAGCAGTTCCTGATCAAAGGATACGGGAGCATGCCCCCTCGTCTGTCCGGCCAGGGGCTGACGCGGGAAGTTGTTGAAGGGTTTGTGAAGGGAGTGAACGACGAGAGGCATGAGGTTAGAGGGAGGTTGAATTGGGTGTGGGCGAGGAAGAAGGGGGCCAACTGTTGAACAGCGGAGGAAGGGCACAAGAGAGCATGGTGGATGGGAGCATCAGTGGAATGGGAAAGGATCTGTATGGCTAGAGGGACGTCGGAATCTTGCTATGTATAAACCTGGTGGCACAATGAACCCATTTCCTTGTTTTGAACCTCCTGAAGGGGATCGGGCATGAACAAAGATGGAGAAGCACTCTCCATGCGAATAATGTCCTGGCGTGGCTGTGCCGGCGCTTATTTGACTTTACCAGATTCAGACGAGTGAACAGACTTTGGACCAAGCCCGCGTCCTCCTCATGTCGCGCGCCGCTCTACTGCAACGCGCTCTCACCTTCGTTCCCTCCCATGGGTTCACACGCTCTGCACTCACCCTCTCTTCTGTGGATGGACAGCCGCTGTCGGATACCGCCGTCACGGCGTTGTTCGGCAGGGGCGACGAAGCGGAGCGCACCCTGTTTCGCGCGTGGCTCGAGGAAGGGAAGAAGGATATGCGGGAGGGATTGAGCGAAAGCGGGAATTCGACAGTCGTGGCACAGGGGAACGGAGATAAAGAAAAGTTGTACGCTTTGCTGGCAAGACGATTGAGGTGGAACGAACCTGTCCTTGACTACCTGCCTGACGTACGCCAATACACAACTCGTTCCAGCCCGCGCTAACACCCAAACAGGCATTTGCACTCCTCTCTTCTCCCTCTCTCGATCCTCCGTTCTCACTACCTCTCCCGCTGAGCATTACCCTACCTCGATTGCGTCTGATACCGGGACTGGCACATGTGAGTGCCGTGGCAGACGAAGCATGCTGGCTCCTCTCCGAGCCTAATGACCCACCTGTACGTCTCCGCTGCCCTTCCACGCTTTCTCACTCTTCCCATCCATCTCATGTTCATCGTTCCTGACCGTCTCCTAGGGAGCAGGGAAGTACTACGCCCAACGCGCGCGGATCGGTACTATCTACGCGCTCTCCGAGCTCCATCAGCTCTCCTCTCCCTCCCCTTCCTCCCGGACCGACCACTTCTTACGCGATATGCTCAATTTTACTGGTACGCTGCCCCAGGTCGCTGGGGAAGTGGGCACGTTCTTGAAATTTGTGGGGAGGAGCTGGGCGGGGATCTTGAGGAGTCGGGGGATGTGAGCGGAAGAGTTGATGTGGGGATGTGGGAGATGAGAGGGAAGAAGGATGTGGTGGAATAGGAATCACGCGGAATATTTGAGTAAGCACATAATCACAATCACATCTCATCATCCCCTTTGCTCCACTACTGGTCCCTTCTCGCGATCTTGACCGCCTCTTTTGCGACTTACAAGAAATCTCTTACTTGTGTTTAAGGCGTATTACCAAGTCACGCCCGACCATGGTGGAAGAATGGCCGCTTTTCTACTGTTAGAGCTCACAAGGACAGGCTGGCACGTTGCACAATATTATCGGAAGAATTTCTCACGACTATTACAAGCAGAATGGAGAAGCCATCTGTGAAATCTGGCCTCTCAAGCTCCTCGGTGGTTATTCTACTAGAGGGGACAGATATCTCCGTGACATTTGAGATAAGTGACGCCGCCCGTCTCCAGATTCACCTCACAAGTCTGCCTCTGCACCGCCGTGAGTCGACTGAAACTTCAAAGAGTTATGCTTACTTTAGCCAACTCAGGGCAAGGATGCCCCGGCTCACAGGTGTCACAAGTCACTTCCCCCGTTTCCAAGTTCTTCCAGGATGTCTGCCTCTAGAATACCAGAGGATGGGTTACTTCAACCCCGGTACGCGCGGAATGGGAGCGTACCTTGGTCAGACCCGCAGCTAGGTCCGAGCAGGCTCCATGTGGGTTGCACTTGGCGCATGTAACGATGCCCGTCTCTGAGTCTTCCATACACAACCTCTACGACACAGGAAGAGGGCAACGGTAAGCCATCAACTCCAGGGCAAAGATTATATGGCCATACCGTTGCGAGCTCCACAGGAACAGCAAGGGCGAGCGAGCCAACCGCGAGAACAGTCATGAAAAGTCTCGATATGAACATAGTTCTCGATTGTTCTAGTACGAGAGAGAAAACTGGAAGTTCGAAGGTTTGTCGAGGTCTACAAGGACCGTGCATTTCGATACTTATACCCTTCATGTCGCATCGCATCGCATCGCACCCATCCGAGGACGATCACACCTGTACAAACACCTTTCCATATCCCCTAGGACAAGCGCAATCTCCTGCCCTTGTCCAACACAGGATCCCGACCTTCCTCCATCTTTCCATCTTTGCCTCGCAGAGCGGAGTTGAGCGCACATTATGCCCGAGGAATTGCCGCCTGTCTGGGGGCGAAGAATTAGAAGCACGGGTCATCAGTCGAAGTTATGAGCATCTGACTTGGCTAGCTTTGAGGGGTGGCCGAGGCGCAGAGAAATTGATGGAATAGAAATTTGCAGTAGGAAGAGGATTGAATCGAGGCATGAGTAGCGATTGTTGGGAACGGGTTTAGATAAGAGCGCCGAAGGTTGATGCACGCTTGACCTATTTGAAGTCTTGAAACGATGGCAGGACAATCGCAATACATATCTACTGAGATAAAACATCGGAGTCCCAGCTTTCTACTGGGCATTTTCTGAAATACACAACCATCCGACTAACTATATATATGTAACCAACTTCGGGCAGAGCCCGGAATTCTTTGGTAATCCTTGCCTGCACATCTCAGGCATTGGTCCCATCCAGCTCGTAGAAAAAAATGTGGCCATCCCCGGGGCACACCGGTTGAGTGGGGCAAGGAGCCAAACCCGCGTCGGGGTTCTTCGAGCAAGCATATGTCTATTAAGGTCATCGCATCAGCGACCTGGTAAGAGTATTGTAGTTGCACCATACCTCGACGTTAACGGGAGATCCTATGACGACTGCAACAGTAGCGACGATAAAAGCGAATGCAGCGCGAAAGATGAACATATTTGGATGATGTCTTCTCGAGGTTACTGAAAATATCGACGATGAAGATCGTTTGACTGCGGGAAATACTGGGTTGACACTCGTGCTGACCGACATTGAAGTGCCATGTATGCATAGTTCTTATATGCTAACAGCTTGAGAAGAATGGTAGGTATGTTAGATCCTCGCACTTCAAGTTGAGATCCTCGTCCGACCCATTCATCGTTTATCACCTCGCGAAAGGCTTCACCGAGGCGTTGAGGCAAAGGCCAGCGATCCGTTTTCAGGTCTATTGCAGAATGATCCGAGGGCAGAAGCCGGAAAAAAAAGTCCACATCCGCACGGCTATCTAGCACAGAAAGAATGGCTTTGAACCGGGCGCATGTCTTGAGACCGAGGTTACGCTCGACGATGAAACGCTCAGATAGATCCTTGGACAAGCGGGTTGAGCAAGAAGCAAACCAAGTTCAGTGTATCCATCAGTATGAAATGACAACCCGAGACCGATAAAATGCATAGCACGCCAAGATCCGAGGCAATCTCCAGTCGCTGATATCAGTGACTGTTGGGGGTGAATATTTTGACAGGATCTCCTGCAATACACGACAGGGTGCAATCAGACAACCAGCAACAGACCAGCAGAGACCAGTCAGGAGTTGCCAAAGAAAGACCGCACAGGGAGAAGACAAATATAAGCAGGTGCGAGATAAGAGGTAATCTCCAGGAGAAGAGGGGAAAGATTTCAGAACATGCAGCGCCTATCATCCAAATCGCGCGTACTTGAAGATGGGATGGCCTGTGTTGCCTCGGGGATGACCGGTACCTCGGAAATCATGACATCATTCAGAGAACAACCGTCACAGCTCGTACAGCCAGCAGTACTACACCTCCGGTCGGCGTCAAGATGAATCTGCCAGCACCATGCCGGGAATCCATCGGCAACAACCGTGAGATCACGTAATGACCGGCACATTCCATTCACGTGATCTGATGACATAATTCTGGGGCAAGCAGGGTACAGCAGGGTCCCTAAGGGTTTATTTTTTCCTCTTTCCGACCAATTTCAGTTGTGGATTTGCCCACGAACTCCCCAGTGTTTCCCTCTCGTTCTCTCCACTACGTCTATGCTATTGTTACTGCCACCCCCACTATGCATTTCTAGTAAAGCGGACAAATGGCGGATCAACTCCGCTTACGTCAATGCTGCTCACGCTACAATCCGGACCCTGGGCGGCTTGCAGGGCCTCCGAAGCGGGCGCCGACGGGCGCCTCCCGTGTGCAGCGGCGCTCTCCCTCAACCTCGTTGACCGAGAATAGAGAGGTGGCGTGACTAGTCTTTCCTCGTGAACTGTACAGTGCTCTACGAAAGCGACGGGTGCGCGACGTCAGGCAGGACGGATATGCGCCCCTGCGTACCCTGTGGGCCAGTCCACGTCTAGTTCTCGGCCCGTCTCTTTCCCAATCTCCTCCCCTCTCGAGCCCTGCCAACTCGGATACAGGCGAAATGATAACGCGACCGGAGGCCGTGCGCACCTCTCCTACGACTTTTCAACAAGGCTGTTCCGCCCATCCGCAGAATGGCCCGCCGGCCTTTGTAGGAGCCATAGGAGGGACAAGCGACGAGGGGGACGGTATTTATAACACCCTCTCTCCTCAACTTCGGGTATTACCAACTGCATATACTTGTGAGATTGTCAAACTGCATAGAGCTGCTGCAGCAGTTGACTTCTACGTGTCTTACCTTTATTCATTGGAGGCTGCCGATTTCGAAAGCATCAACTAGAAGATGGCGACGCAGCCTTTACCCACCGACGAAAATGTCAACCCATTCCTTGCATCGCACGACGAGGCATATCCAGAGCCCTCCCGACTGCAAACAGCGAGGCCGACGATTTCTATTACCGCTCCCGCCACATCCCCCATTTCTCCCACCTCCGCATTCTCCCCCACATCCCCTACCTCCCCACACGGAACCCACCTCCATTCTCGGCGGCGTCATTCCCACCTCAGCCCACTCCAGCGGCAAACATCAATATCCATTGCAGAACACTATGCGGACCCCACTGGTTCTGGTCTTCATGAACCCAGTCTGAGTGACGAGGAGGCGGTAGCAGAGGAAGGCGAGGTGGTCCGCACCATTGAGAATCCCCGGTGGACAGGAGTTCTAGGGCCGGAGTCTGAGCGGGCGATGGAGGAGGGGACAGCTGCCAGTACTCCTGAAGGAGAGCTGGAGGAGAAGGGGGAGAAAATTGTTCGGAAACTCGATTGGGATAGTCCCACCGATCCGGACAATCCCAGGAACTGGTCCATTTCAAAGAAGTGGAGCAGCGCGGCTGTCACCAGTCTTTATACGTTCGTGGCGCCTCTGGCGAGCAGTATGATGGTGCGTGTTTCTTCATGCCGACGTAAGGGACACACACTGACCGAGTGTGATAGGCGCCAGGATTGCCAGAAATCGCGAGGGCATACGGCACGACCGATTCGACAGTGATTGCGATGTCTCTTAGTATCTTCGTTCTCGCCTTCGGTGTGGGTCCTCTCTTCCTTGCGTACGCCACCTGCTGCTCTTTGTCGCCATCTGCTGATTCTCGTACAGCCCCCTAAGTGAGATGTACGGACGTCGCTGGGTCTTGCACATATGCAACATCTTCTTTCTCGTCTTCCTAGTTGCATGCGCTAAAGCGCCCACTATGGGTACCTTCATCGCCTTCCGGTTTCTCTCCGGCCTCGGTGGCTCGGCGCCCCTTGCTGTGGGCGGTGGCCTGATTGCCGATCTGTGGGACGAGAAGGAAAGGGCGAGCGCAATGGCGATCTATTCTCTCGGCCCGCTTGTAGGCCCTGTGTTAGGCCCAGTGGCGGGAGGGTTTATAGTCCAAAGCATCGGGTTCCACGTGCGTCTCTCATCCATGTGCAAGACACGTCCTGATGAGATGAGGTATCAGTGGATTTACTGGATCCTTACTATCCTCACCGGAGTATCCTCTATCCTCGGCGTCATTCTCCTGCGCGAGACATACGCGCCCCTAATTCTCTCGCGGCGTGCTACCCGACGAGGCATCCGGCATCTGTCCACTATCGAGCAAGCAGGTCATACGAGCCAGTGGTCCTTCCTTCTCCACAGCATGTACCGGCCATGGATAATTCTCTTTACGAGCATTATCTGCTTCTCGCTAAGTCTATATATGGCACTGTAAGCCTTCTCTTGCTCCGAAATGTTGTCACAGCATCACTAATGCGCAATATAGTATCTACGGTTTCCTCTACCTCCTCTTCGTCACGTATCCCACACTATACCAGGTGGACTATGGTTGGGGCCCCGGGGTGTCCGGCCTCGCCTACCTCGGACCTGGCCTGGGCTTCTTCATGTCGACGATGGCCACAGCATTCCTCATGGATCGGATATACGCGAAATTGAGCGCGAGGAATGGTGGCGTAGGGCAGCCGGAATTCCGGATTCCCGTTGCGATCATCGGCGCAATCGTGGTGCCTATTGGTCTATGTGGGTCCTTTACATATAACATTGGAGCTTGATTACTGAAGGGCGATATTTCTGGCAGTCTGGTACGGTTGGTCAGCCCAAGCCCACACCCATTGGATCATGCCTATTATCGGAGGGGGCATCTTCTCCTTTGGCATGATGCTCACCTTCTTCCCCCTACAAGTATACATCGTTGACACTTTCGAGTACGCCGCCTCAGCCCTGGCGGCCGCCACGGTCTTCAGGTGTATGTTCGGATTCGGGTTCCCTCTGTTTGGCCAGCAAATGTTTTCCCGGTTGGGTAACGGAGGTGGGAACAGCTTGCTCGCGGGATTGGCTATTGTCCTCGGCATCCCGTTCCCGGTTTTCATCTGGTTCAAAGGGGCAGAACTAAGGGCAAGGAGCAAAGATATGGAAACGGAAAGCCTGCAATAGAGCGATGATGGCAACACGAAGATTCATCTGATCGAACACCGTTCAATTGTATCGATTACAACCTCCTTTCTCTGGGTCTTGGGAGGCGGGGAGATACCAGCTTAGGATTGCGAAGTTCTTTTTAACTCAACTCTTGTGCAGCTGTATAATAGTATGCATTTCCCTTCGAGGCAAGGAAGAGATCTCCCTTGTGTCGCTTTAATACAAATGAACATAGTATATCGATAAGGTGGTATAATGGGATCATCTTATACGGTGCAGCTTTATGCCTAAGTTCCACCACAGAATCTCTAATCGTAGTTTCATCCTCCAACCCTTGGACAGGACGGAAGAAACAACACAATTTCGGCATGCGCAAGGAGTCTGCCTTCCCCTTATCACAATTTGCATTCACACCACACCACAATTTCGTTCTCGATCAAGATCCTCCGAAGCACTTCGACGTGCTTGCATGTGAAGCATCCTCGATCTCATTGTGACACTGTGATACACTCGCACACACTGCCATGGTCGACTCACATGCCTCGGGTGATCGTTCAGCCGTTCCCCCACACGCCTTGTCAGGACACGCGCTGTCACTTGTTCAATGCCTCTTCTAGTGGGTAAATGTTCGGCGTCGAGTCTGGGAGGAAGAAAGAATATATGGTTGCTTGATCAACTTCCTCCTGCCTAGTCCTTGCTTGTTCATCGTCGTCTCGAAGTGAGAAATGGCAGCCCTCGACATCCCACCGGGCAACATCCAGTATGATCGCATCCGTACCCCATTATCAAAGCTAACTATATGCACGTAGTTCATTCCTATTCCCTACCACAACGAGCATATCTCCCTCACGGCCCCGAGTGCCCGAGGACAAACCGATCTTTGATCTTCCCTCGACGGGCGAAGTGCTCACCTACGGCCGCCTGCGTTCTGACACACTCTCCCTCGCTGCGGGTCTTCATGCGCTGCTGAAGAATGCACCGGGGCATGGCGATCTCGGCGTCTCCGGTACATCAACAGGTCCAATAGTCCTACTCCACTTTCCCAATAGCCTGCACTATCCCGTCGTCCTGCTCGGATCACTTGCAGCCGGGTGCACCGTCACGCTCACGAACCCGATTCTGACACCCACGGAGATCGCGCACATCGTGGGCCAAACCGAGCCGGAGGTCGTATTCACCCAACCAGGACCCCAGGGCCAGGGAGTGATCGAGGCGGCGTATGAGGTTCTAGCGAAGGAGGGAAAGAGGGTACAGAGAGCGAATGTGTTCACTGTGGATATTGCGGCGTATCCGTTCACAGTTTCGAGGGGAAATATGTCAAATGGGAGCAGTTGGACAGGATTGATGACCCATCAGAACGAGGCATTCGTCGTGACGCGAATGGTACGTGTCCTTCCTGCTGCGCATCACGCATTACAATGACCACGAATGCAGACGTCCGACGAAGCCCGTTCCCGCACTGCTATCATCCTCTGGTCATCCGGCACCACCGGCAAGAGCAAAGGCGTCCTCCTGTCCCACCGGGCGCTCGTCGCCCACCCCATCGTCCTCCTCGCCGGCAATCCGAGCTTCAAAGTGAATGGCGAGATCTGGGTCGGGTTCGCCCCATTCTTCCATATATTCGGGCTGATGAATGTCTGCTTGTTTGTGCGTCTCCGTTTCTATCCGGTAGTGTTACGAGCTAATAGGTATTATCTGCTGCAGGCCCCTTACCTCGGTGCCCATGTCCTCCTGCTGCCCAAATTCGATTTCCTTACCTTCCTCCGCCTGATTTCTACCCATCGCGTTACCAACCTGCACATCGTCCCTCCTATCGCCGTCGCTCTAGCCAAGTCGCCTTTGATCAACGAGCCCTGGTGTGATCTGAGCAGCGCGAAGACGGCCACGTGTGGAGGTGCGCCGTGCGGAGTGGAGATTATCGAAGAGGTCAGACGCAGGACAGGGGTCGTAGTCACTATGGGGTGCGTACTTTTATCTGTGTGCTTGGTGAAACAACGATGTACTTACGTGGCTTCACAGATACGGGCTGAGCGAGACTGGGTCAGTGACAAGCACTCCTCTTGCGCACTGGGATCTGGTCGAGCCACACCTCGGCGCCTCCGGGCAACCCGTGCCCGGGATGGAGATCAAGATCGCCGACGAGTCCGGTCGGGGTACGTCTTCCCTCCCTTCCCGTATCTGCAGGTTCGCTGACCATACACTCACGTAGCCCTCAAACCTGGCGAAGTGGGTGAGATCCTCTGTCGCGCCCCGTTCGTCATGTCCGGCTATGTGAACAACAAGGAGGCCACTGCTGGCGCGCTGGACCAAGACGGTTTTGTTCACACGGGAGATTTGGGCTATCTGGATAAGGATAATTGGCTGTTTAGTGCGTGTTTGGTCTATTAGTTTACGTTGATGAAACTGATAAGCAGTCGTGGATCGACTCAAGGAAGTCATCAAATACAAAGGGTATGTCTGTGATCTTGGGCATCTCGGACAGAATGCTAATCATAGCGCTCTACAGGTTCCAAGTTTCACCCGCAGAGCTAGACGCTATCATCGGGGGCCTCTCCTCGATCGCTGACGTGGGCGCAGCCTCGATCTACAGTGATGAACAAGGCACCGAGCTCCCACTGGCCTACGTCGTTCCCCGCTCTCCGGCTCTCCATTCTCTGCTGCGCCAAGGGGCCATCACAGCCGATCATACCGAGCTCATCAACCTCGCCAACGAAGTGCGCAAGACGGTGGAAGAGAAATGCGCACATTATAAGTGGCTCAAAGGCGGCATCGTCTTCTGTGAAGCGGTGCCCAGGAGCGCGAGTGGGAAGATCGTGAGACGGAATTTGGGTGAGGTCAAGGGCGTGCACGTGAGATGTTACCCGAAGGAAGGGGTTAGGGCAAGATTGTAGATAGAGGCTTGGATAGAGTAGACGGGTGGGAAAGGCCTCTCTTGGGAGATACTCTTTGGATTCGTACTGTCCTCTTTGCTGTGCAGTGAAGTACACCTACTCTTTTGCAGTAACTTTCGAGGTACCGTGTGGTTGTGGGCATGCTCAACGCGCAAGCGCCTTGATGACGACAGGCCTTCCGACTCTGCAAGCGCTTTGAGAATAAAGTTGATTAGCTTCTTCCGTTCTTTTGGCTTACGAATTGATACCGGTCTTGATGGTACAGAAAACGGTTCATCAGCTCCAAGGCAGGCGTAAAATCTGCGCCTCAAAGAGGTAGCCCCAAAGATGTGATACCGGTCCGAACTGCGACTTTAGGCAGTTGTGTCCAATATAGAAGGCATCTCCGGAGGGTCAAAATCTGTTTTCATCGAGAAAGATCCGTGGAGATCCGCACTCAATCGAGCAGGAATCTACAAATAGTTTAGCTAGCTTGATGCTGGCGGTTATCTTGGCCATGAATTGGGAAATGCTGATCCAGAAGATGCGCTGTAACATCGGGTGCAATGGTTGCGATTCACCTGCACCCGGGTGAAAAGATTTTGAAAACGTTCACGCGGCCAGATGATGCGGACCGTTGGGGATGAGTGAAGATAAGCTAACCGGTCTCGGGCCATAGAGGAAAAGATGCATTACTTCGAACAGCGAGAGCGAAATACTTAAGACGATTTTCTGTACAAAGCTGTGTGAAGACTGAGGCCAAAGAGCAAAGACTGAAAGAAGCGCTCACGCGGAAGAGGCGCGTTGCCCTGGTTATGCACAGCCACTGGAATGGATGAACCTCCTTCCGCATTTGCGCTTGCACCTCTGTTTAGAACGATCATGATTGCACAACGAGCTCTGCTGGCAACATCGGCAAGCTTATCCGCCCTTAGACTTTCGTTTATCTACGCCGCGATGAAAGCATAACAACGACCTTGTATTATATTCTTCGCAACGCGTCATACAAGGCGACCAGTATCAAGCTCCATGAAGTTCTTTGTTAAAGCAGAACCTACCTGAATTCGATAACATCAGAGACAGGCTAATTCAAAGCTTCTCATCGATCTTGGGAGCAAAGAATACTGCCAAGTGCTGGCTGCACATGCCACGTTTTCTTTGATCAAGACCGAAGGAGCCTGTTGCTACATCAGGTAGTTCAGAATCGTCAGTCAGTCTCTCTTCTTCGCGTGGCACTGTATGCGACACTCACTCATTTTAAGCCCTCATGGTTTCTACCGCCCGTCTATCGCCACCTACGGTGTCAGGAGGACACGCGCCGAAAATGCATCTTTTCTCGAGCGGCACCGGTTCTGGCTAAGAACATCCTTATGGGCACTCACTCTTCCTTCTCCTTTGATCAACTCACCTCACGCGCCATTACAGTTGCGCGGGCCATCTTTGCACCACCCCCTGTCTGGTCAGGAGGACAAGCACCAAAAATACACCGTTCCTGGATTGCTTCAGGCTCAGGCTGTGATATGCGCTCGAATGAGTAACAGGATTCAATCATCACATACTGGTGCACCTACCGCTCTTGGGTTCTCCCTTGCCTTCCTTGCATCATTAGATGTCTGGTCAGGAGGACAGGCACCAAAGATGCACGGTTCAGGTGCAGGATCCCGAGCCACCACAGTGGCGCGCGCCATCTTTGCCCCTCCAGAAGTTTGGTCGGGTGGACAGGCACCAAATACACACCGAACGTGTAAGGCCTGTTCAAGAACTGTGAGCGACTTGCAGAGAAAAACATGGCGCAACCCACTCGATCGTCTAACAAAGCGGGTGCGGCAATTGCTGTGTCCATGAAGAGAAAGACAAGGGCGAGCAGGTGGGAAGCCTTAACCATTATGCTATCGACTTTACTTGTTTGTATCGTTGGAGAGGGAAGAGTAATGTGAGTCGAACTCTGGATCTGGAGGTTGCTTGCCCTGATACGTTTCTCCTAGATTTCAAGGACATTTTATACCCATGCGTATCGGTGGCCCCCTCGAACGGCTCTACACACGGTCCATGCTACTCAGTCCCCCAAACTGCCGCCGAGTAGTTCCACCCCTTGCGGCCTCCGTGCAGCCGGACCCGGAAGTCCATCTATCTTGAGTTCGTCGCATCGTTCTCGGTGTTGTTCCGGAGCACTTGATGCTGATTTCACCCTAGACCCTGCCCTCACGCAGGGAAAGGCGAGGTCTGCCCATCAAGCGACGGAAACTTACGACCCCAATGGACTTCAAATGAACTGTGCATAGTCGGAAACTTCCGTACACGATGCCGCCTGTCAACGGTTGGCCATTCAATGGAGCCGGCTTGACCGTGTCCTTTGTATGGGAATACAGTTCTGTATTCCCTAAGCTAGGGGACATCCGATATCACCGTTTTTTCTTGACAAAGCTGAACGGCTTTCACATGATCACCCGGGGGGATGCCGATGCGCCTTGACCCCCTCGCCATCCACGCACGCATTTCACGTTCACAATGAATACTAGCCGTCTCGTCACCTGCTGCATTCCCACTCGGGACAATATGAGCGTCATACGGACAGTAACTTTCACGAGCCGAAGAAAATCTCCCTGCAACGACACGGATCAAAAATGGGAAGAAGAAAAACTCCACTTGTGCGGAGGCAGCCGACAAAATTCTTCCGAACTGTCCGCGTCCACTTTCCAACTCTATTGCAACCGCCTCTCCGCAAAGAAGGGGTTGCGTGGGACCAGGGCCGTCGCTTTGGTTCTCTTGAGCTAGGACTTCAATTCGCGAGAAAGTCTGGCCTAGTCAGCCAAAGACTCCAACGAGCGTCAATGGATTCTTTGACTAGATCGCTAGTCGTGGTCAATCGGCTCCACCACCACAATTGTGCCGAACGCAGCCAGCCAAGAACGGCAATTTCGGTTTCTCCGCGGCGGCACGCCCTACTGGGAAACAATGAACATACACGTCTTCGTCACCCGAACGACACGCATGATGCCCGGGATGCAAGCGCCTGGGAACCCCGCGCCCGTCCCACCAATGCTGCTCGGGGCAATGGCTGGCCCCATTCCGCCCTGGACGGAAGTATGGGACATTTTAGTGGACCATTCTTGATACGATCATCTTATCTATCTTCAGCTTTGTCACGTTTCCATCTAGCTCGATCAGGCTGTTTACGCCGCGTTTCACGCTGAATGCCGAAAGAAAGTAGTGGAAACAGGAACCCTCATTGTTCCTCTTGTTTCTTGTGGTCATCAACAACGACCACGCGTTTCCATGCCTTGAACTGCCGTGGGCCGGATGAAAACAAGCATATCGCCGAAGCATCACAAACCATCACCACCCGCAACGGATGGTTATCGGGTCTCTGCAGGGTCAGAAGAAGGTCGAAGGTACAGGTACAAGAAGACCCCCCAAAGCTCCATTTTTGGGACAATTCTCCAGAGCCTCCATATGAGACGAATCGGGTCATCAACTACCTACTGAAATCCCCCTAGCCATTCTAGGGCACTGCAACCCTCATGCGATTAGGCTTATCAAGTGTCTTCTTTCTACGCAGGTTCATGGAACGAGGTGCCATGGGGATGACGAAATGATTGTCCTTAGACCCAATGTCTGCGCGGGATATTCGTCCACACCTCCGCTCTAGCAATCCCGCACTCGATCGGCGGCCGAAGATTCCGAGCACCCCTTACATCAGCTCGTGAATTCAATATTGGCCGACTGCCGCTTACGAACTGTACAACATTTAGAAGCGGTACATCAAATTGTTTACCTTCTTAAGCTGATACGCCGTTCCTTCGGTAAACCGCGCCGTCTGATACCGTCCTTTGGAACGGGAAGCGAATATCATCCGACCAGTTGTCCGCAGCACGTACTGCGCTTGATGTCGTTATTCAGCTGCGAAACTTGCTGGGGAATGGAAAAAAGCGCTCGCGTCTTGCCTCGCTGTCGGCCTGACATGATTGCGCAAAACTGTGAACGTGACATCGATGAAGATACGGCGATGTCCATTCACAATTTGTCACACGACGTCTAGAAGCCGAATGAGAAACCGCCTTCGGCACCTGGCCTGGGAAGAGCCGCGAAGATATGCTGGGGGTCATGACGAATTTCTGCTTTTATACGCATGCACAGAAGCTTAAGGTACCACCCCGCTCCTCACAGGCACGTGGAAGAAGACGAGAAAGGCGTGCCTTGTGCTAGTTTGGACCCTCGTGGACCCTCTCGGCATTGTGCAGTCATTCAGACGGATTCATGGTTGTACTGCGTCATTTCTCCACCTTCATGAGAGCCTCGAACATCTAATCCGCAAGATGGGAAACCCCCAATCCAGAACATTTTAGGCGTCCGGCTTAAAAGTCATATTTCGAAGTCACCGATCCTATTGGGAAGCAAAGGTGGATAGCAGCGGATCGACTAAATTATTTCCGAGGAATGTGCCCTAATGCCTCCCATCACGGGGAGGAAGACTGGCCGTATTTTTCGCACGGAGCAATGTTCCGCGACCAGGATGAACAGAATATATTTCTCTCGGTCGATTTCCGTTTGACGGCGACACTAAAACATTAAGCCGGATGTACGGCGTACTGGTCTCACATCTCTCGGTGTCGTTGCAATTGTGGGTACATAACCTTGCCTGTATCTCCTTTCGTGCAAGCACCTCGGAAACAAGACTCGATCCGGATCGAAACTGAGTCTTTGTGTCTTATCGGCATGTTGTGGGGCCAGATAAAGACGGCTGTTATTCAGATCAACAAGGTGCCTGCCCCTTTGATGAGTTAGGGTTAGGCCAACTGCTACCGTTTTGTGAAGGAACATGACACCAGAGAAAAGCGATTTCTGATGCAAGACTTGAAGCAGGCGTTCAAGATATGAACACACAGCAAGAAGATGTCGGGCCCATACGGCCCTTGATGCTCTCCGAACATGAGGGCACGCAATAACTATTTTCGGACATGATCGGATGACTCGCCCCGCGACATACCTTTCCTAGTACACTTTTGAACCGGGATTAGGCGCCGGCAACAACCACAATCAGAGAGTGCACAACGACAGGTTGATAGGCAGTGCTGATGTGAAGACTACTGGGCTGTGTCAGTTATACGCGGTGTGCCTAGCTCGGCGGGATGCTTGCTTCTATGGAACCGCCCGTTCGGATTCGGCACGCGAATGATAGCAAATCCGAACGGTAGACAAGGTTGGGTTCCATAGACCATGCCATTGTGATTGGTGTAGAGGTACATGATTGTGGTACTGCAAACATACAAATGGCTGGTCGAAGATTGGTGGCAAAAGTGATTGGCATCTCTAGTGGATGGATCAAATACGTAGCCGAGAAGAGAATGGTGATAGGGAAGAATATCCCACGTAGTTATACATAGAATCTAGGGTCGGTTTAGCGCGAGGAAAAGGAAAGCTTGAAAAGACTCACTTTTTGTTGATTTGATACAACAGGAGGTTGAGGTTGACCTTCGCGAGGCCATCAAAGAGCGACAGAGAAACGCGATTTTCAAACTGTGACTGAAGAAGATCTTCCATTCGCAGAGTAGTTGAACTCATCGCTGAAGTGCCATAGGTGTTGTTGAACATTTCCACTGTGAAGTCTCCAACTTGGTCTGATGAAATTACCAAATCGATCCTATCGAATTGCCTGGGCGAGAACTTGTCAATGGAAAGCAAAATGCCTTTATCGTAAAGTTCTTGGGCACTATACTTATATGAGCCGAATTGAGGATTTTTGCCAGCTTTGTGCAGGTCACGCAGATGGAAGTATTGTTTCGTGAACGGCATGACGAATCTCTTCTTTCTACAACGTGATTCAGAACTGTGGCGTCCAATGACTGTGTTCAGTACTCACCCCTTTCCACGCTGCATTGTGTTCATGGCGGAATCAATGTAGCTGTGATAACTATTGATCTGATCTTCGAACGCCTTCTTGCGTTCGACAAGGTGTCGAAGGGCCTCCTCCATGCTCTCAAGCTCATTCTTCCGTTGCATACGCTTCATGTGCTTGCTGCGGACGTCTCCGGCGATGGCATTCAGGACTCCCTGGAAGCCATTGGTTCGGGTGAGCTTGCCGAGCTTCTCCAGCTCGAGCAGGTAGAACATTGCCTGAGCCTTGATGTCCCGGTACGACTGACTGGTAGGGAATGAGTCCCATCATCCCCGCTCACTCGCATGATCTACGTACGTTCGGATGTCTTCGAGGCGGTATGCAGGGTCGGTGGTGGTTGTTGCGGGCAGCCGGGACTTCTTGCTTCGCTCTTCCTCACTTGGGAGCTCCTGAGCAATTATCTCCTCCCAGATTGCATCCTGCTCGTCGGTTACGGGCGCCATGAGTGATGTCATGAGATCCTTTGCCGGCTGAACACGGAGGACAGCAAGTACGCCACGCTTGGCGTGCACCCACAGTGCCTTCTCTCCAGCATTGGGATCTGGGGAATAATGTGAGATGTGCATAGATACCAGCTTTTGTCCACATACCCTTCACGTCAGCGAATCGGTTGGTCAGCTCCAGCGTGACAGGGCGATCACGAGCGTCTCTAAGTTCATCAGAACCCAGGTGTGGTACACCATCAAGCTCAGTAATGATAACTCGCATTGTATCATCATATCCAGTGGTCTATAGGGAGGCTTTTAGTCAAAGAACGGGCAGCAATATGCATCATACCAAATGATCAAGGTTCTGTGCTAACAAGGAATGTATTGCGTAAACTTCGTTGGGCGAGATAACTATAGAACTTGGCTGTTCAGTGGCATCGAGCAATTCGTGCGCTTTGAAATGTTCTTCAGGATTTTGCAGCTCGGCGACTAGGGAATTGGTCAAGAGCAAGCCTGGTAAAGACAAAGGTCATACCATCAATGACCCATTTTTGTGTCTGCGTGATGGCTGTGTTGACGAAAGCATTGAGGGGAATGAGTGAGGGTACGTTTTCAAGAAACGCCGAGCCGGACGAAATCTGGGTGAGCATCCTGGCCACTTCGCCCAAGTTACGTCGAGCTGCGGCACCGATGGTGTTTGGTACAATATCGAAGGCATCCGGCGCTCTACGACATTTAAGTTGATACCCAAGCACGGGACGTTCGCACTTACACCATCGCAGGGTGAATAAATCGATAGTACACAAATTTACCCACTGCGGTAGCATAAACGCGATCTGATTGACCTGGGAACTTGGTCTAGAGAAGATGATCTCAGCCGGTTGTCGAACCCCAATAATAAAAACAAAGTACCTTCAGGGAAGCAAGCAAATCCCGAGCAATGCTCCGAATGTTGTATGGCATCTTCCGGGTTGAGTTAGTGATGGCATTCAAGAATTGCTCGGTATAATGACGCAGCATTTGGAGATCTATTTTTCTGTGTCAGGAGATACAAAGCAGGAGGAAATCCAACGTACGTCTTATCCACTCGCCACGAGTGTGGGGATCAAAGGCAGCTTCTTCGAAGGTCGCATCAACAGGTTTGCCACTCGAAACACCGGACCGCATTTCTTCAGCATTGATTACTGCTCGATAGATTACGATCGGATCTGTTTCAAGGTTAAACGCAGGTTGTCCAACAACCTCTTCTACGAGGGTCCGTAGTGTTTCGCGCAGCCAGGTGACTTGCTTAGGCCTGACATATTGCAGGGCGATGGAGAGAAACATGGGATGCGAGTCCACAATGTCGGAGATGGTCGGAGCTGAGCGAACCTCCTCTGAGATCGCATGCTGGAAGAGTTTGAGCATAAGGTATTCCTCTCGTCGTTGCCCGTAACCGAACAAAATCAACGTGACACGTTCCACGGTGCGTTTCGTCTTCTCCGGCATTTCCACCCTTGACATGCGGAAGAATAGCCGTGCAAGGTATTCGCCCTTAGTTTGGAGAAGGTAGAACAGTTGTTGGTATAACTCCAACTTACGTTTCGTGGCAATGTCGAGTGTGCTTGGGCCCGCGAAGGGATCGCCGTGAGCGGCCAAGACGGCGGCACGGGAAGTGTGAGCACCAGAGCTATCGATACTTCCCCACCGGCGAGCTTTGACGAGCTCCTCAACAGACTTGACGGTCTGGACGACCAGGGCAATCTTGACATCCAGCTCCGTGACATAGGTCTCGAGATGTTGATTCTCGCGGATCGCCTCAATGACCTTCTTCCTCAACCGCTCAACCTCGATTTCATCTTCAAAGTCGAATTCGGAATCGTTTAGTAGGTGGACAAAGTTCTTGATAGTGCTGACAGTGACATTCTGGCCCATTGTCAATTGTCGATATTGTTCGCGTTGTTCCTTCGCACGGAAAAGGGATTGGATCTTGACGACCTTTGATAGATTTGCACGATAATAGTTTATCTTCTCCATAAACCGACGCCGGACAATAATGCCACGACACAGGGCTTGAAGATTGGTCGCTTCTGCCTGATGTTCATGCACGTAATGCCACCACCAGCCGAACGCCCGGCGCGCAAGTACACCACGACACTGGGCCTGTAGCCCCAATACATCCGGTGCTACAAATTCCAGCTGCTTTGCCTGCTCTTGATGCCGCTTTCTTGTTAAGGCAGCGCGAGCGAAAGCTTGGAGAGAGGACACAGCCTGGACGACTTGGACGTTGGCTAGTGCTTTCTCCACGTCTTGCGCCCGTTTCTTAGCAAGCATCGCTCGGGTTCGGGCCTGCAAGCCAACAAACAGCGGCATCGCTTTTCTCAAGCTTGTTGCCATGGACCGATATTCTTTCCGGGCTAAGTATCCACGCGCAACGGCCTGGAATCGTACGACGGCGAGTTCGTGAGAGTCGAGCCGCGCTAATTGTGCTCGCAGTCGCTGTCTAACCATACCGCCACGTATCTGACTCTGTAAGCCGACCATGGACGGGATGACAGCGCCAATCTCTTTTGACATTTCCGCGGCTTTGCGTCTCTTGAGCAGACCACGAGCACAGGCTTGCAGACTGACGATGGAGCGGACAACCTGGGGCTTGGCTTGCTGCTCTTCTTGCATTCGGCGACGTCGGCGAACCAAGGCTCCGCGGGCAACGGCCTGCAGGCGGATGATGGATGGCTCGATGGCATCGAGCTTTCCTAGCTGTTCCCGGATCTTCCGCCTGACGATGACACCCCGCAGGACAGTCTGAGCCCAGACAACAGCTGGCTCAACATGGTCCATTTTCTTAGACAGCTCAAGCACCCGATTTCGAGCAATAGCACCCCGCACGCGCGATTGAAGACCAGTGATGACCTTGAGAGTGGATGGTCGTGCCAAATCACGCTTGTACTGCTTTCTTCTTGCTCTTGCTAGCACACCTCTTGCTTGGGATTGTAGTGCGATTACAAACTTGCCCTCGGCAGCTTTGACATTTCGACGATGTTTCGTGATCCTACAGCGCGTGAGCCAGCCGTGGCATAAGGCTTGGATAGCAATGGTGCTTGGTTCAAGCCTGTCGAGACGCGAGAGGATCTCGGCGCAGCGTTGACGTGCCATGAACCCACGTGCGATGGTTTGGAACAGCACAATTTTCGGTTCTTGTTCCAAGAGCTCACGTTCGATCCCTGCCAGAAATCAGGGCTGAACGCCAAACGAAGAAGCAAACGCACGATCTTCCTCAGTCTCCATCGGTTCCTCCTTCATCTCTTTCCACAGTTCTTTCCCTACATCCCCAAAGTTGGGCATGGCGACACCCGCAGCTTTCAGCCCTTTCTGAGTAGCGGCGAGCTGGTCGTCGGAGAACTCGAGAGTGCCAAGCAGGGAGCCGATGTGGTGGGCTATTCCCCATCGGGCAAGGAGGTAAGAGAGGGCGTGGATGCAGTAGATCACTTTAGGCATATTCTTCTTCTCGTATAGGTCGGTGAACTCGAATACAAAGTTCTGTGTCGTATGTGTTAATACTTCTGCATGAAATGGGAAGACAACAAACCTCGGGGAGTCCTACACCCCTGACATAGTTCAGAAACATGTTGACGTTATCTGAATGTCTCCATTGCAACCTCGGGTGCTCGAACACCTTGCCCGGAGCACCCCACTGTTTGACGAGTTTTGCTAGGGCGACTCCGTCCCTCATCTTCTCCTCCCATTCGGTAATTTCCATACCATCCTCCACTCCCATAACAGACTCGATCCATGCTTTGGCTTCGCCCACGCGGCAGAGGTACTCGTACGCCTGGATATCCTCTCGTTTCCTGTCGGCCCAGAGTGCGAATTTGGATATCTTCTTCCGCGGCGTCCCTGTATTATCTTGAGAATTCGGAGTGCTGGGTTGGGTTACTGTTTCTGCACGGACTGGAGACCCAGGTACAAGCGGGCCAGAGATGTTGCGCGATAATCGGATGCGCCCAGGTACGCCGTACACCTCTCGTGTTCTATCGGTCGGATAATCGTAGCTTCTCCTATGGTCTTGAAGTGCGATAGAACGCGTATGCGTGTGCATCTTGATGCTCTCACCCATTCCTTGTCGTGTGTCGTAGTCGTTGAGATATCCCGCTCATGGGAGAGAGAGATGGTGGACGTTGAGGAATGAGTTCAGGGGCTAGGGACGCGTCCACCTACGACGCGTCGTGTTCTGCGGCACGGGATGGGCGGACTGATTTATTTTCTCAAAGGGTCCGTGTTTTGTACACGTTTCTCTCACCATGACTTGTTGCTCAAAGAGGAGCATACCAAGCAATCTGTCTTCGCAAACTAAGCGCAACAGATTTTCTTGATTGTCGTTCATCCTCGCACCCATATCGGCTTATGGACCATCTGGGTGTTTGGACGACAATCTCATCCACATCTCCGCCTTCCAATGAAGTACCTTCTCCTGGACCTGCGCTCCGACCAACACTTCGGAGAGCCCGATCAGTAGGAAGTCTTATGCGTCGTTCACCCGGCAGCGAGCCTCTTCAACTTCTACAGCACTCAAAAGAGGAGGGCGACAACTACGGCATCCTCAAAATACCAAACCGGGGATTGAGGATGGCACACAGATGGGGGCGAATGCACAACCTTCTCCTAACCCCTACTCCTCTACCCAGCACATGGGAACACCTCATCTGCAAACAATTCCTTACTCGAGGCCCTCCTCCTGAGTTCAGCATGCAAGAT